ATAGAACACTCATTCACTAAGGGAGACTTTTTTTGCAGCTGAGAAGCTTCGCCATCTATTACTAACAATTTACAAAAGATTAAGATTTTCGAGGTAATGAGTGACAAGAGATTGTAAGAAGGGTAACAAGCTCCGCCAGGACGTCATTACACTCTATCTATTATGCAAAAAGTTTATTGGTAGTTCAACCTCTACGTTACGTATTCATTTTTTTTAATTTATTTTTTGTTTTTATTAAAACTGTTAACTCTTCACTCTACCTTTCGTTCATTACTTTAAATAAATAAAAAAATAAATAAGTGAAATTTTTAATTCCAGACACTTTAAATTAATCTTTTTCACAATTCTTATGCAAACAAGGGCGAATAAATTTACGTGCAATTTTTTCATTTCTCAGTTTCTAAATATTTCTCTTGCCCCTTCGTTAACCCATTTCAAATGTCGATTTTATTTAATTTATGATCTAAAACGTGGTCTACAGCTCAATTGTGTTTAGATAGAATAACTTTCCCAATTAAATTCACATCAAATGATAACAATAGATACCTGAATGCAATTGGTTCTATTTATCTCTATCTTCCCGTCTCTTATTTTGTCCGTTAATCTTTAGGCAATTTGGAAGAATTCGTTCTGCGGTTTAATTACCAATGGATCAGAAGAGAACTCAAGGAATAGAGAGACAGAGATAGAGCTAGGGATGCCTGGAACTAAACAAAAAAAAAAAAAAAACGGAATTTTTAATTCCTTGGAAAGTCAATGGTTTCGAAACCTTTAAGAAAATAATCATCCACCCTGTGTGTGAATAGATGTTAACTAACAACAATTAAACTAAGAGGAGATCCACAAGCATATATAATTGAAAATATACACAACTATATATATATGTATCTATATATATACATATATATATGTATTCTTTTTTTTTTTTTTTATAAACAAACATACAAACTGCCGGCAAAAAGAATTGTTATAATTTATGGTTTCTCTTAAAGAGACAATCGTCAGCGTTTTCATTGGCAATGACAGAGACCGCAGTTTAGCAGGCATTCACATGCTGCTGCATGCAACTATCAAAACGAAAAAGATCGCTTTAAATATTTTAAACGGTTTTATATAGATTTCAGTCAGCCGTTTCATTTTTCTTTGAATATTAATTGCGAGGCTGTTCGTTCCTCTTTATATTATTTTTCCATTCTTCGGGCATTTTTTTCATTTATTTATTTCCTTGTGGATTTAATTAACACCAATTGAACTGCATGTCTTACGAACTTTTAAATGTTTTTCAAAACAATTTCGGAATTCGATTTATGTATTCCGTCTTATTTATTTTTATTTTCTGTATATGGGAAAACCCCAAACTAAATCGAAGAGATAGAGAAGATCCAATAAAGATACAGTTAGATGTCAAAAATTATATAATAAATATATTAATATTCTTTAAGTCATTTTTTTATTAAAAGTGTTTTATACTATTTTACTATTGTACTCTCCTAATATTTGTAATACAGAAATTTTTTATACCTTGCACCACAAGTGGTACAAGGGTATCTCAAGTAGACGCGGATGTATGCAATACCCACAAGGACTTGAGATAAATCCAGCTCTTATTGCACTGATCTATCCGGGACCACTTTCTAAACCACTCTAAGCTTGTCTGTCCGTCTGTCCGTCTTGCATTTTTCAACCTACAGGTCGCAACTTTAGAGATATTTTAATGAAATTTGGTTCATTCACTTTTTATTTTTTTTTTGCCCAACGACTAACGCTTTAACAAAAGTTTGAGATCCGATCATTTTTCTCACGACTCCCCATATGAAGCTCTAATTTGAAAAGTTGTGCAAATAAGTGCATTTAATGGTGGCCCGCGGCCCATTATAGCATTCTTACTTTTTTCTGCATTTGTATTTCTAATTTTATATGACAAGATAGTCCTATATCCTCTGATGACTCGTCGGCCTTATTTTATTACAGATGTTTATTATGTGCGTTCAAAATTCCTAATACATAATAATATACATAATGATGTCCACTTGATGCATATACATTCTTGATAAGTGTAAGTGAAAGAATCGATTTAAAGTGAAACCATCCTTACGATCATAAAGCTTTATAGAGAAACATAACTCTTGATTCGAAACTTTCTCATACATGTCTTTGCCAAATTCATGTAATAAATCAGTGCGATTTGTCGGATCTTACAGGCGGCTACTTAAACTAAAGAATAATAACTTTCTAGTATAAATTTTTCCACGTGGTCCTAAGTTAACCTTTAAATAAGTTACGTTTATAAGCTTCTTCGATTGAAACCCTCTTCTCTAAAGATATATTATCTCAACTTAAGTTTTGGTCTTTTGAGGTATCTTTCACTTAAGCTCCACGTAAGCAGCTTCACTTCCATCAGCATAGAAATTTCCCAGTTTATCTTAACCCTTTTTTTGATACCATCAATACACCGTTAAGCAGCAATCGATTCCCCAGATTTGCCTCGTGAAAATATTACATTCGCTCTTCCTTCTCTAACTTTCAACTCTCATCTCTTCCATAGTGCACTTTATTTCCTACATTTAGTGCTTAATATTGCTTAACTGTCTTTGTTTGGTTGCATGTTAGTTAAATAAAAGTAAATTCAGTGCACTGAGTCTTTTCGTACTTATGTCTGGATTACGTATGAGTTATAAAATTTAATGCAATGAAATCGCTCCAAATATGTTCCATGTATGTTTAGTTGAAGAACTATAGAGTAAAGTGTAGTTTATCTTGCTTACGACAGCATTGTTTTTAAGGTATTGTTGTTGGTTTTTTTTTTTTTTTTTTTTGTGTTCTATTGTAAAAAGAAGACGGTATTGTTTTCTTGAATGTTTGCATTTGAATTTTTTTTGTTTTTATTTTTTATTTTTATTTTTTTTATTGATACGTTCGCTTGCACTTTTAATTCTTATCAGAGATATATGCTAAAAGGCAAAATTACCCATTGGATCCAAATTATGGGATTCATTTGCTCTGTACTTATGAGCTTAACAACAGTCTTTAAAAAAAAATTACGAAAATAACTTTAAGCAAAGAGTGAAGCTGAAGACAAAGTCAATGCTATGAAATGACTGAGAGATGGGCGGTCGATGGTGAAAACATGCTACATAGTACATAACTCGTACTATATGATGCGTAAGCTTAACATTTATGTGCCGTTAATTTTCATATGTAGCGAGATGGGAAATGAATTTTGGGGCTTCAGCTATAATGCGGCTATAGTTGCCTCCAATTATGTAAAAGAATTTCTTATTTAAGTTTGTTTGCGTATATTACATATATATGTGTGTAATATATTTATACCCTACACCACTTGTAATACAAGGGTATATGAAGAATATGCGAATGTATACGATACCCAGAGGGACTTCAAATAGAACCAGCTTTTATTATGTCGATCGCTTCAGGTTCAGTTTCCGAATCGACCCCAGCCAGTTTTTTCTTTTTGTTGAACTTACTGTGCACAACTTTTCAGATATATTAATAAAATTTGCCGACATTTTTCGGCCTAAAAACAAAGGGCATTAAAAATGGTTCGGATCGGACTACGTTTCCAAATACTCCGCCTCTACCGCTTTATTTTGAAAAGTTGCTTTATGAATAATTGTATTAAGCGAGGCGGTGTGGGCCTTGGCCCACTGTAGCGTTCTTACTTGTTTTACATACTTGCACACTACGCAGGCATATGAAAATTCTCTTTCTTTCTCTTTAGGCAAAAATCAGTGGGGCCTTGTTTTCAAAAGATTTGAACATCTTTTGTATGTGGTAGTCAAGACTCCTATAGCAATGGCGATTGGTTTAGGCAGCAGTATGTGTAAACTTGAGTGCGAGGATAGTTTTTCACAATTCTGTCGTCATTGGTTCTATCGGCTGAAAAAGCTAGAGAACATATGAAATGAGGAGAATGAATATACATCCCGGTCGTTGTATATATATGTCGGTCGAAATGCGCGCGATCAGTGAGAACAAATGATTTTATTCTGTATAATAGACGGGCTATCACAGTAAACAAGGAAAAGGATTTAAATTTCGTGTTCTCAGAACGAACATCTTCTCCACGCTATGTCATCCAAAACGATTTAAACGTTGGCGCCTTCTAATGCCTTTAAAAAGTTTTTATGCTCAAATGTTTTTACTTTCAATTTACTAGCATAGCTTTTTGCTCCAAATAGATAGTCCATAAGAAGAAAGAAGCGGATGAATTCGGATGCATGAGAAGCGCACTTCTAGGCGATTAGAGAAACGAAAAGCACACGGATACAAAGTCATTGTGAAGTAAAAAATTATCTCTCTGAGTGGTCTGCGTTTGCAAGCAGAATTAAGAAATTAGTATACTCTCAGCTTTTACCTCGCGGCTATAGGAGTCATTTTACTTGTCTGGCGTTAGTGGACAATCGCGAATAAATTGCTTTTAAAAACTTTTGATTCGCCCTTTTTACAAGCATTCATTCCAGTGAAGAGCTTTGAGGGTTTTTCTGTTTAACTGATTTGAGGTTCGATACCATACATTGTAGTTAATTTAATTTTCGGGTTTTTTTTTTTTTTTTTTTTTTTTTTGATGCATGCGCGTACGCATTGATAGGCATTTCAATCATGCCTTGAAAGATGCATTAAATTGTCGAAAGTTTAAGCATTTAAGTGTTCAACGCTGCCCAAATCTGGCTGGCATCTTAAATGAAAATAACATCCTTTAGCGAAATTACGATAAAACAGGTTTGATATAAAATAATTCCTCAATTTTAAGTGTAAAAGAAAACAGGTCAACAATTCTGTTATGAAAAAAAATTCCATACGAACAACAGTTATTTTTTCAGTTATGCTTTTATGCTTTTAGAACACAATTGTTAGGACTTCAGAGAATAAAGAATGGTATGTATATGTATATATGTATATAAATTACAAAATCGTATCATAAAAATTATAATAAAGAATTTAATTCACGAACTTTACTTTTCCTTTTTTATTATTTCTAGAATCGTTAAGACTGCGTTGGCTAGTGTGACATTTAGCCGACGATTATTTTACGTAAACCGAACTCATCATGGATCCCGACTGTTTTGCAATGTCATCATATCAATTTGTCAACTCGTTGGCTTCATGTTACCCGCAGCAAATGAATTCACAGCAAAATCATCCTAGTGCTAATGCGAATACGCCTTCCAGTAATGGGCCTCCCGCCGCAGGGAGTGCGGGTAGTGCCAATTCGGGTGCTGCTACGCCCGGCAATGATTATTTCCCCGTAGCAGCCGCGTACACTCCTAATTTATATCCAAATACACCTCAGTCTCATTATGCTAATCAAGCGGCTTATAGTTTAGGAGCTGGTGGCGGAGGTAATACTCAAACGAATCCCGCAGATATGGTCGATTATACGCAATTGCAGCCGCAAAGGCTGTTAATGCAGCAACAGCAACAACAACACGCTCATGCATCAGCAGCGGCGCAACATGTCGCCAACCAGCAACAGCAGCAGCAGCAGCAACAACAACATCAGTAGCAGCAACAACAAATGTTTAAACAGCAACAGCAACAGCATCCGCAGCAGCCATCAAATATTAGTTGTAAATATGCGAACGATCCTTCAGCACCTACCGGCAATAATACTAGTTCAAATAGCAACAACAACAACAATACCAATCAACAGTCGCTAGCCAGTCCACAAGATTTATCAACACGTGATATATCACCAAAATTATCGCCGTCATCGGTGGTAGAGAGTGTAGCGCGTTCTTTAAACAAAGGTGTACTCGGTGTAAACCTGAACAACAACACGCATAGTAATAATGTGAATGTAAATGTGCCCCTTCACAGTCCCGGCGACGGTGAGACCGACTCTGAATCGGATAGTGGCAATGAAGCGGGCAGCAGTCAAAACAGCGGCAACAAGAAAAATCCTCCACAGATATATCCCTGGATGAAGCGGGTACATCTCGGTCAAAGTGAGTAGCAAAGCAATCGAAATCATAAACTATCTCTCTTTTTTGAAAAGGTCATGAAACGGGCATCGAAACAATTTATAGTTGGCTTGAATTAAAAAAATTAGAAACATTCCTTGCATTTCAGTGTCTAACAAGAAACGTAGTGCCATCGTTATCCGACAAGCCTTTCGCTAATCATAGTTATTCGAATTTTATTCTACGAAACCTATTGTACCCATGAGCCTAAATATGGAAGATCTGGGTAGAAACTTGATATCAAAGCACTCTAGAGATATGATATCTTCTTGCGCTTCCTTCTTAAAAACAACATGTTCTTTTTGTCTCTAAACTAAGGCAACGTCTTTCGAACAACTTTTCAAATAATAGGTGTTCACAATGTCCGATAGTGTGCATGAGAGCCAATGAATGACTACATTTAGCGCATTAGCAATGATTTTAAAATCTATCTAAGAAAAATAATTTCATCTTCACTACGTCACTTCCTTAGGTAATGATTGTCCACCTTATTACCTAACTCAAGATAATAAGAGCCTATGACATTCTAAGCAAGTGTCCTTTAAGTGTCCTTTAATTGTGAGGAGAGTACAACTCCTTAATCTGGGAATTTTATATGTTAATCTTAAAAAAGAATTTCGTGCAAGGTGAACTTTCGTCCAAAAGCAAATTTGAGTTAATGGTGTCTTTTTTAAAACGCAAACTCCTGGCGGAATTAAGGTTTGTTTATATGGTTTTGTCTCTTCACGTTATCATCTTGTCTCGTGGGAGTCAGACTTTACATTTTAATCTTAAAAAAAAAAGCGCCAGCCTTCACTGGCACATCTTTGAAAAGTAGAAGAGTTAGGCATCTGTGCATTAAGCCGAAGGGATTGGTTATAATTCTTTATTGACGGGCTTGCCACTGTGCCATGTGCCGTTCCGTGAAAATGGGAAGTGACACGCTCTTGTCGTACGTAGGTGAAATGATTGGCTTTATTAATAAACATAACATGTAGGAAACGAAAATTATTTAAAAGCTAAGCTGCAGCTAATTCTTTGGCGGCGAGTGAGAAAATAAAATTTATGTACGATGTAAGTGAGGCGACTTAGTCGCTCTACATACAATTCTTTATTTACAGCAACGCTAATATTCACAAATCTATATAAGCGAGAAAACAATATTTGATCGTGACCGAATATTGCGTAGGCGCGGCTGATTTTTCCTCTTTTCCCAATAAAAATAGAAACCAATTTGTTATTTCTTTTAAAAAGCTGAGGTGTCCTTACACTACGTAGTACTGCAGGCGTGTCCTTCGACCGATCTGGCCCTTTTCCAATACCAACCTGTTAGTAAGAACTTCCAATAGCTTCATTTGTGTGGCCAGGACGGACGGACAAGTTGACTTGCTTAAATCGATTCAGAATTTGATGCCGATATCAAGAATGTGTACAGTTTGTGGGATCTCTAAAGATGCCTTACGGCCAATGCAAACATTTTGACAAAATACCAAACTTGGAAAACACTAAACTAAAATTCTTATGTGTAAATGTATGTATATAAATAATGTTAAACAATTTTTCACGAGTGTCAAAGCGACTCAATAGAAACATTTCTTGTTGTACAGAAAGGCGCGAAAACATGACCCAATGACAGACAAACTCACGATTTATTTAAACACAAAGCAATGAGAAGATGAAATGAGAACAAGCGTACTTGAGACTGTGTACGTTTTCTAGTTGATCTTAGACACTCCAAGCAAAAGTATATTGAAAGCATCAGGTTTTTCGTTTAATGTAAAATTCCAGTTAAAATGTTAGGGCGATTTACACTCCGATCTCCGATAAGCCAATTGGAAAGTTCATAGTTTTGATTCTTCAGGTACTTTGTGGGCTGATCACACCTAATCCCAATCTCCAGCGCAAATTTTCAGGTCATAAAGTGAATAAATAAAGTTGGTATACTTTATCCTTTGTTGGCACTTTAGTTCAAAACGAAAAAATGAAAAAAAAAAATAGAAACAAGTTAAGGTAGAAACAACACATATTTTCCTAACAACTGAAATAGTTCTAAACATGTTGTTTTGCATTTATTTGTTCAAAATTCCACGCAATCAGATATCGTAGAGGAGGATGGGCAAACTATCGAAATGAAAAATTCGCTAACAAAATGAATGTTACAGACTGAAATGTTATAATGGAAAAATAATTATTCGCAAGAAAAAAAAAATGAAAATAAAAACAAAAACAAAAATAAACAACCGCTAGTCACATAAATAGTATGCCACATACACTTGGGCCTCCACTTCACCTTTTCAACCATATATGCAAAAAAAATCAAGTATGAATTTTGATATGTACACTATTATATATATATACATATATATATATATGTAGGGAATCTTTGAAAATCTATGAATGAAGAGTGGTTTAGCGTTTTTAAGGCGGACTTGGTTTTGTGAAAGCAAGAGGAAGCCAACCACAATCTATTTTCTTTGATCAATTAAGGCATTATAAAATGATGATGGATGAAATTGTTTCATTGTGAGCAAAGTGGCGAACGAATTTTATATGCTTATGTTTTTGTACTGCTTTGCAGAAAAATGCAGACTTACTCTGATGTAATTAAAACCAAAGCTCGAACCAACTATGGATTTAAAAACTAAACGAATAACAAAAAGCACCAGTTGAGTCATTAATACACGCAAACATACATAAACAAGTTAATAATAATTTAATTTAACATAGAAACAACAAATAACAACACAAATGTTTACTAATTACCAGCATATTTTCTTATCCCCTTCAATGATGAATGGGGGTTAGGCTACTTCGGTCATTTCGTTTCCAATACCCCAGAGGAATGTGTAGTGAAGGGTAGGAATCCAGCACACGGGTATACAAATATTCTTCGTGAAATTGAGATTCTGAGCTGGCAGAGTGAAGTTCTGGCGATCAATCTGATATGCTAAGAAGACCTAGTTTTACGGCAACCCCTTAATTTGCGACCATAACTCGACGAAAGACATAAATCTTTTTATGTCGATCTCAAATATTCACTAGAGCCGTATAAGCCGAAACTGTTTGAAACACTAAGCTTAGAAAGTTCAGCTCAGGGCAATTATTACCCTGCTATCGTTACGGACTGAATACTCTGTTAACGATGACTGTTGTCCCCATCTCTGTTGAACGCGTGAAATAAAGAGCACGGGCGGCTTTTAATTAAAAATGATAAATTAAGTTGGTGTTAGGCTGACCTCTAAGCACCCCATAGCATTGCGAGTAATAAAATTCTTCAGCTATCTTCTTCATAAAAAGTCTTGCTTCTCGCAAGCTCCAAAATATAAATTTACATATTCGAAGTCTGCACATCAACTCACTTTTTTTGTACCTACGTTAAACATGAATTACTAAGCCCAAGATATGTTTGTTGCTACAGAAAAGCTTAGCTTTGATGAGAACATTGACATGGGAAGGAGTTTAATAAATTGTCTCATGCCATTCGTACTTTTCACTTGCACTTAGCATGTCAAATACTTAATTTCGCCGATTGGTGTCAAAAAATAATAAAAAATCGATCTTTTGGCAAAACTTTTTCGCAATAGGTTTTTATATGGACAGCAGGCTTAACAATAGTTCGACGCAATTCAATATTTAAAACACTCGAAATACATGGATAGAGTGATGCAAGGTGCAAGACCTTTGGACAATAGGTTTTTGTATGGACAGTGGTCCTAAAAATAGTACGAAGTTATCCGATTTTCATAGTGCTTGTCTTTATCTCGAAACACTCGAAATACATGGATAGGCAGGCAGATGTCTTTGTTGGTTCTAACGTGGAAACACTAGCTTGTCAATTTAACCCCATGGTGCCCGACGACATACGGGTTAATTTTGTTAATTTCTACCCGCTAGTACTCGTGATGTACTGAGTGAGCTCCTGACCCCCGTCACACTTCCCTTCGGATTGACCGTACAATCCCTGCTGGCCAACACCGGACTACCATTCTTCAAGATATGTTAGCATCGGGTGTTACATCTGACATGGTGGGCGGTACCGTGCTCTCGACTATTACTATATCATTTTTTACGTAACCGGTTACCAGCTGGTTGGTTAGTATTTCCTTCTTAGAAGGAGTGAGAAAAGAGTGCTTCTTCCAGTGTACCCCTAAGCTATCTTTCAGAAAACTTTTCGCCAAGTTATAGATAGTCCAAGCCTTAAACTTTTCGTCGCGGGTCAAGATCGTTTCCAGGGATCACGCCGAAAAGGTGGGAGTTTCTACACATCAATACTCCCCCAAAAGCTTAGCTTATCACCCCACATGGATAGACAGATGGACGGACTGAGCATAACTGTTCAGAAAATGCCTCTCAATATTGTTTGTGAATAAAAAGTATTGGCTTGATTGATCGTAATAGCATTTTTCTTTTCATTTCCTTCATTCTGCTAGGTATACCATTGCTACACGGGGGAGAAATGTTAGAAGTATAGACAGTGCTTCTGAATTTTCTAATGTGTTTTCTTAGAAATTTTATCAAATTTTTCAGCGGATGTTCTTACAAATGCCTTTCTTCGATACTTCCGTGGGTGTGCTTTTAAATACGGCATCTTCCGTAGTGCCAGAATGGAAATAAATTTTCTAAATAAAACTGGAAGATATGTTCCCCTATGAACGTCGTTCAGGAACTTCACGGCCCAACGATCAAAAATTGAATTATTATTTGTTTTCGTCAGCATAATTTTCCCTTAAATGTGGCATTTAAATGCACAAACCCACGCACACAACGTAAGCTTGCCTAATAAATATAGAATAAAACTCTAATTTAGTTGAGAGTGTAAGTGTACGGAATATGCAACCTGGCAGCTACTACCTTAGCGCATTCAATTTACGCGAGGTTGGGCATGGACATGGGCATATTTTTATGTATATATGTACATATACTATAAAATGAAATTATAGTGCATCAAAGCGCAATTTCTTCATTTTCATTTTTTCCTCTTTGCAATTAAGTATTAAGTCTTGGCC